TATCATGATGACATTTGCATTCTCCAGCCCAGGACCTCAGTAAACCACAGGATTAACCAGATGTGAACTAACTTATTGACACAGTGAAAAATAGAAAAAAGTACATACCTAAAGCAAGGGAAGATGACCATTATTAAAAGTAAGCAGAGAATTCTAACTGATTAACATCAACTAATAATTTATTAAATTCTTTTTTGTGTAAAGAAAACATTCTTTTCCTTTCCTGTTTGCTTTTTCAAAGAACTTACTTCACTAGCAGTGTTAACAAAATCATTCCCAGCACAGAAGTTTTGCCACTACAGACTTTAAACTGGAGTAATTGCTTATTTGCAAACATTCATCTTCAAAAAAATGTTACCACATGCCTAAAAGGTGTGCCCCATTAGATGTAAATGATAAATGGTACGCGACAAGGCAGAATGCATACAGCTGATGTAGCATGTAGTTGTCAAGTGAAAACTTGTAATATTAGTGTTTACACTAGGGCTGAATTTTTACTCAGTGTGAAAACAATACAGGCTTCTGTTGCCAAATGATTGTATCTACTCAGTTATAACTGCATTAAGTCTTTGGGTAAAATTTGTGCTTTGTTTTACTTCCAGTTTCTGGAAGTGCACTATGAACATATTATACAATACAGCAGCTAATCCTAACTGCATAACAATGCATTACTTTGACAGGTTTTAGTGACAGGGGAAGCTCAGGAGGTTTGAAAGTTGGAGTTTGATTTGGAAAAACACCCTGAAGTATGGCTGCTTCTCTGAAGTATCTGAATCTTCCTAGTACAAATTTTGAACTGGAAATCTCATGAAAACAGCCTCCCAAATGGGAATTAGTTTTCTAAGATTCTACTTCCTCTCAGGCTAGCAATACTGTGAGAACAGTATTTTGGCACTCCTACTTCCAACTATGCCAGAATTAAAAGTCTTGAGCTGTACAGGCATGAAAAATAATCTGACAGATCCATAGGTCAAGATTGTCTTTATGATGTATGCTGTGGCCACTCAGGACTTCATGGCAACAGGGGGCCAAAACTCAGATATTCCTGCAACAGAGACACAATCTGCAGGAACATACATGCATAGCTACACTTTGGTCTCTACAAGCATGAAACTAATTTAAATTCTTAACTTCAATGACATTAAAGCAGAGATGAATTTGACTTGTCTTTTCAATCCCTTATTATGGGAGCACGCATCTTTATCCAGTTTAGAAGGTCCATTTTTTTCTGTAGTAATGGTTTGCAATACTAAATTTTGAACAATTTTAACTTTTAAATTCTTTAAGCAAGTAGTTTTTAGACGAAGTACAGCACTGCCAATAATTAGCCCTATGCTGCACTCAAAATGATAATGTTTTTGAAGAAAGGCATTAGGGTGATATCTTTTATTAGACCAACTATGTAGTTGGGATAAAGTTAGATAAGCTTTTGAAGGCAAGGCATTCTTTGTTAGGCCTCTGCTCACAGGAAGCCAAGAAGCATTTTATTAATACATCACAACAAACTGCTTGTTTGGGGGTTTTTTTCTCAATATCTCTATTCCTACAATAGCTAATACTGCTTAAATGTTTATATGTTTTAATTATTTAAAAAGCATTACTTCACTTGTTCACCTTCACTAAAAGAAGTATTCCTCTGCTTCGAGAAGCTGGCATGCAGCAAACCATTTCTAAATAATCAGGCAGCAAGCTGGTACCATACAAAGCGGACTTTATTCATAACAGACATTTGTAAATAAGTAATTGACATTTGTGCAATAACAATAGCAGCTCCAAAAATAACAAAAAACTGCCAGAACAAACAAGTATTCCGTGAGCTCGGTTTTAGGCTGCAGATCCATCAGAGTCAGTGACAGCAGTGGTACTCAAAATAATAGCTCTGGGATCAGAGGGAATTCTGCAGCACAGCAAAAACCTCCTGCTTTTTTCTCTTCCTTCCCTCTCAGCTATCTTTCAGTGGATGGAAGTAGACTGGGAATCCTAGGTCACCTGAGGGCTGTGGTCTTAGGTTACATGGCCCACGCTGGATTTCTGAAGGGTTTTGACAACAACCAAAATCTCTGAAAACACTAGAGTTTGACTAAGGAGGGAAGGCATATATGGTACACATTGGCATGGAGCAAAGCTGATGTGGCAGCTTTGCAGGGATGGAACTCTTTGTTTTTACAAATCCCATCCTAATGCCCATTGTGCCCTTTCTGTCCTACCAGCCCTTTTAGCTTTCCCTATGCCATGGAGAAGTGGAGGTAAGATTGGGTTATCACATTAGTAGCTCCCTTCCCCACTCTTCCCCCTAATCTTAGGATTTGGGGCAGGGAGTTTAAATTGTAAAGCCTCTGTCTTCCATACCGCACACACTTGGTTAGCTCTTTGCTTCTTTCCTCCCTTCAGCCACTTGGTATGCCTTTCTTCTACTGTGCTGTCTTGAGTAGTGATATAGCACAGTGGTAGAGTACTGAGATGGGAAAGGGAAAATGAAAGGCAAGGTGCTGTTATTCAGTAGCATGGGGAACTGGCCTTTAATAGAAAGAAGGGAAAACTTTTGATGAAAAACCCAAGGTAGGTATGGAGACAGGCCACGTCATTTATCTGGAGGTGCTGTTTTTAGCAATGGACTTTTTAAATACAGTCTTGTATCCATCACTGCATTAAACTACAATAAAGAAGGCCCATCAACTGAACAGTTCTGCTAATCAGATCAGTACAATAGTTCACACTGGCATTTAAAATCCTGACATTTGCTTTTTGGCATTAACACACTCTGAATTAAATAGGACAGTTCATGTCTCTCTTGGAGCTTTTATTTCAGTCTGTCTGTCTGGAAACTTAGAAAGACACCACTGCTTCTCTTCAGCCTGCTCACCCTAGAAGGTTTTACCAGTAGAATTATTTTGATTAGAGGTGTGATTATTTAATTTCTTTATATTTTAATACAAAATAGTGTTAACAGTAAAGCCCTAGTATAGCTGAAATGATATCTGCCTGGAGTTATACCACCATAAAGATTTTAATCAATATAACTGCATCCACAGTGGCCTGGAATGGGGTTGGGATCGTGCCATTTTAACTATACTGGGACACAACTGTGTACTATAGACAAGGTGCTTATATTCAGAAGATCTGTAAGCATCAAAGAGTATGTCTACATGATGCCTATTGTAAGTTCCAGCTGGATGCCCCAGGAAGACACTACCCACCCAATTCAAAAGCTACTCTTCAAATCCTGAAATATACTACTGAGGCTCTCTCGAACATGCTTCTGTAGCCACTCTCAAGATCTGAGTCTCCAGGGTGCTTGAAAGCAGTTGGGATGACCCTGGTGTGTTTTCAATACTGTACTTCCGATTTGGAGGTGTGCGTGTGTGGCAGGCAGTGTCTGATAGTGTGCCAGCCAGAGTCTGCTGCCACTGCATTGCAGAGTTCTCCCCAGATCAGCCAACCTTTGGACATAGCTTGGAGTTTCTGTTTCATGAGTTTTTCCTGGTAATGAACTGAAACTTCTATTGATGGAAAATTACTTTTTTTTTTTTTTGCTAGTAAATCTCCTTTTTCAGGTTTTCCTCAAAGAATATTGAATACCAGAAAGAAACAATTTTGTGGGCCATGCAGTTGTGATGAGGTACAAGGAAGGAAGGGAGAAAACAAAGAGGACTGAAAGGGTCAAAAGAGGCAAGACTAAAATCTAGTCATTATTTGTAGTGTGTGTGTGTGTGTGTGTGTGTGTGTGTGTGTGTGTGTTTGACTCTGTCAACTACTTCTGCTGCTTGACTACAGGATTAGTTTTATTTTCAAAGGTGCTGAGCAATCCAAATCCCCACTAAGGATAAGGGGAGGTGCAGGTGCTCACAACTTAAAATTAGGACATGAATTTTTCTAAATAATAGAATGGTTAGGGCCTAAATAATGAACAACAAATAGCAAATGAGGATACCAAAACCATTTGGTTTTATACCATTATGATTGTATTCTACAAACTTTTATGTAAAAATTCATTCAAACAGATGCTTTCAAATGACAAATTCAAAAAGCTGTAGGCATGGTAGAAATGACTAGTTGCCCATAATTTGAAAAAAATGTTCACAGGTACTGCCTTTGATATACCAGCTCTGCATGGATTCCACCAAGACCAGAATTTAGCAGATTATTAGTAAAACTTAAGTGGAAATATATTCCACTGCGTCATAGTTAGTGTTTCTTTATGTTAGGTACTTATCTTTCTTTTCACAATTTTGTAACTACATATCTGATAACCTGAATTTACGTGATGTAACTAATATTAGTGTGATGCACTTTGAGGACAATATAGCCTGGCTATTTATCATCTGCATTGTCTTGCTTCACAGGTCAATGTATATTGAGTGTCTGGTCTTTTGTTTTATTCTGAATTTGATACACATGTAGAAAAGTTACACAGTTCATATATAAATTAGTTTTATATTAAATGACACCAAAGATATTTGAGAGACTAACTAGTATAAATTTCACCGAATGTAAAAATAAATATTCAATGAATTCAAAAGTAGAAGCCTGATGTTTATTTCATGATCAGCTAAATATGGGAGGTTTAGATCTGTGCATTAAAGTGAAAAGCAAAACTTTTATTGACTTAGGTATCAGACTATACAGAAAAAACTGTTCCCAAGTGTCATTATATTTAGAGGTTTGTTGAAAACCCAGCTGCTGGAATCAAGAGGTTGCATGAAAACTCCAGGTTTAATTTAAAAAAAAAAAATGATGGCCTTACACCTTGTGCTTGCCAAAAAAGCTTGAAACCCTGAACCAAATGCACCTTAAAACTCAAAAACTAGAAGACCCAAATCCTCAGACGTATTACTTTAAAAGCTTTCTTTTGATTTTTTTTTTAAATCAGCCTTATAATCTGTGGGAACCTAACTCATGATTTTCAAATATTCAGGGTTTGCAATGCTGAGCACGTCACAATGCATCTCTCTTTAAAAAAACATACTCTTAAACAGCCGGCAAGGAACATGGATAGAATATTTGGGGAAAAACCATGATATTTAATATATTTAATCTTATTATACATTTTTTTTCTAAATTACAAAGTCAATAGGCTGCAAATATATTCTGCTACAAAGCCTTATGTAAGAAATATTTCTATTAGAAAATACATCTCATTAAACATTTCCGGTAAATAAATTATTCCAAATAGTAAAATTGTGAGGGGTAAATGGAAACGTAAAAACCAGCGCTGGCACCCAATACTACAATCACTTACTGACACTGAGTAATAACACTTATACATACCAGTAGCCTCACCAGAGTCATCAATAAGACTATTTTTGTGTATGCGATGCTTCAATCTAAGTAAGGGTCAAAGAATTGTACCTCTATATTTTGAATCTAGGTCCAAATTATGTAATTTTCTGGCCTAATTTCTGTTTTCTCTTGCAGTGCAGAGAGGTAAATATATAAAATGTAGAACTAGTGGCAGTGAGAGCAGAATCAGACCTTCACTTTTGGGGGAATACAAGAATCTTTCTCTAGAGACCATTCCTTTAAGATCAATAAAAATATTGACCAGAAAATTTTAAAATATCCTAATAAATCAGTTTTCTTAATCTGATATATGTTGGAGTTTAGGTCCTTATCAGCGGTACAGGAAGTGTAATTCAGATTTGATCTCTGGTAAAGACCTTGTTACAAGTGCACTTGCAACAGTTACCAATCACTGGAATGTTGTAATGTATTAAACTGAATATATGTTAGGGTGGTGTCACAGGTTCACTTGCAACGGTTGCAAATCCTTGGAATACAGTGACCTACTAAAGTTAGTGCTGTTAGGAGATAGACCTTGCCTGAAAAGGAACAACTTTGCAACATCAGGAGGGTACTTAATGTGCTCAACTGCTCGAAGTGCATCTGCCTGCATTTTAATGTCACTTAAAAAGTGTTAAATTGACACCACCCTGTGTCAGGAGTAAATGAACCACTATTTGTAAATTAACCACCAATGTAGAGATATAAAGGGGAGCAGAAAGGTACCTTAAAGATAGAAACAAATCCCAAAGTTGGTTTTCTGATTCAACTACCTTCTGGTGTACCCAAATTGAATGAAACATTAACAAAAGCAGAGAGACATTGCTTTACAAAATGTAGAAATAGACATTTCAGTAGGTTAATTATATAATCAGATTCTGAAAAAGGAACCCCAATCTTTAGTTATGTTTACTTACATTATCGCTCTTGCAAATATATGAGTAACACAAGAGGAGGTGAAATGATTAAACATCAGAGGGTTGAGGATATCTTTTAGCTAGTTCATGAACACAGTAGATAAGTCAGCAGATTCTTTTAGCCAACATAATCAGTATGATTCCTTTAGTCGTGCCAGTATTCAAACCCATAGCATGCATTCGACCAGAATTTGTTCTTGTTTCAGTCTCAGTTGTTGTGTCAAATCCCATGATGGTTCTCAGCATGTCACGTGTCAATATACCTTTATGATGGAGACCTGATGAAATACTTGCAAAAGCCAACTCTTTTTTGTTGTTGTTGCTTTTGCTGCCCATACAAAGGAAATCCATTCTAGCATCTCCAAACCAAAGATGAAACAGACTTATGATAAAAACTTATTTCTACTAGTATAGCATAAAAACTTTGACTTAGTAGCAATCCAGTCAAATAACAGCAGGTGGTGGAAAAATCTATTATCATTGCAAAAATGTTTTTGCAATTCATTGCAACAGAGCTTGAAAAGCAAAGTTTGCTATAACTCTCCACACTCAGATGCTTGTAACTTTCCAAAAAAAAAAGATGGAAAAAAATGACCAGCTTTATGAATTTATCCATAATGTAAGAATTCTGGCAAGAAAAATAATATTTACTAGGACTAATGAGAAAATGAACGCATATTACTCTGGACTCGTCAAGTGTATATATATATATGCTTTAAGTGTTCAGCCCAAAGTATGCTAGCAGTAAACCAAGACACATACAAATGACTAATTATGGTAAATGAAGATGAACTGAATAAAGCATTTCAGTTTATATAGATAGGCATATATATATTAAACAAAACCCTGTTTAAATGCCTCTGATTAGAGGAACTGCCACTTCTTGTGCTGCCTTGAAATCCTACATGATGAGATTTTTCCATTTGCACAGGAGCCTGCAAAATCCAGCACTCTTGCCCTGCAGGAGTACTTTCCTTCTGTGAGAAGACAGCCCTGAACAGCAAGGTGTATGGACATTCACAGTAACTATTATTGTCATCTCTAACAGCTGCAGCTTATCGCTATGATTTTAGTAGCCCATAATGAGTTGACAGACAAGTCTTTCTGTAAATCACTGGTTTCTGTTGGAATATGCATAAAATTTATTTAGCAATCATTACTGTGGAGGACACTTACCCCATTCCTAACACTGAGTTGGCGTGTTAGGAACCCTTCAAAAGGCATGGGACCATGCAGCATTGCAAATGTCAATAATTTCCATTGTGCTTGTATAATAGCATTTCCCACAAACTGTCGTCATTATTTACACAAAAAAGTTGCACAATGGAAAACTCCAGCTGCTATCACATTTACCGCCAACTCAAAACAAGTGCAGTTTGGGGTGATTTCTATTCCTACCACAATTGTTACTTTAGCTATTCTGTTTTTATTTACAATCTTCATTTCCCACCAGGCTGTAATGCATTAAATACACAGATTCACAGTCTGTTAGTAATATTTTCCCAATCCTCGTTCAGATCTTCTGACACACGTGAAGTCTTGATTTAGAAGAAGAGGTGGCATCTTTCCATACTTTGCAAGAGAGCCCTTTATCACAGTCACATCGCTGGAAAATCTCCAGGCTGTGGGAGCCCTTCTTGCGTTGCTTGGTGCATACCTCCCCCTGCTGTAACACAGGTTTGCAAATTTTGGTCCAGAAATGGCGAGCACAGCAGTGCCCCTCAATGCAGTCAGATGAGCGTAAGCAGGGGTCCCCTTCATGTCCTAAAAAACAACCAAGGTATTTCAGTGCCTGAGAAAAACTGAAAAACAGCTTCAGTGGAGTTTAGTTCAATGGCAACTAAGAAAGAAGGGATATGATGCTCATCTAGAGGTATTTGAAGGCCATACAAATCAAGGCAAGGGAGGAATTACAATCGTTAGAAAAGTTCAAGGAGGTGATCAGTATGGCCTATTCTCATGTCTGAGAAGAAAGAAATCTCATTGAGCACTATGACCACAAAAGCATGCATTTCTGTTGCAAGACCATTAAAAGAAGTCAGACTGCCCACTTCCTCAACTACAAACAAAATCCTACCTTTTAGGTGTGAAAGCTTAGACTGCGGCCTTCCCAGATTCTGCCATTCAAAGTCCTTGCTAGAATAATGGCCATTTTTCTTGTTGCGTGGCCCTTCCAGAGCAGGGATGTGAGGAGTTAGGATGCTTTCCGTAACTGGTATGCAAATACCTGTGAGAAGGAGAAAGAAAAGTCAGAGGCTTTAGAGATGGGAGTTTGCCTTAATGTAGCCTTCTCTGCATGTGGAAGATAGGGCTGAAATGCCCCATCCACCTGAGCATGTTGACGTGTTCCTGATTGGAAATTCTGCCTGTGAGGCAGCTTTGTGCTCATCCCAGTGATTGCTCTCAGACCTGCCAGAGACAAACGACAAGTCCTGGGGCTGAGTCTACAGCGGGGGTGGGCAATTATTTCAGCTGGAGGGACAATTAATGAGTTTTGGAGACCTGTCAAGGGCCACATCCATCTTTGTTTGTCTGTCTCTCTGTCTCTTACTGTCTGTCCGTCTCCTCTTCTCTTCTCCTCTCCTCTCTCTGCCCCTTCTCTGTCTCTCTTCACTCTGTCTTCTCTCTCTCTCTCTCCTCTCCTTTCCTTTTTCCATCTCTTTTTCTGTCTTCTCTTATCTCTCTCCTCTCTCTCTTCTCTTCTTTCTCTGTCTGTTCTCTGTATCCCCTTCTCTCTCTCCCCTTTCTCTCTCTCTTCTCCTCCACCCTCTCTCCAGAACCTGGCTGAAGCTGTAGTTTGCCAGGAGCCCTGACTCTCAGCTGTGGACACAGACATGGACTTCCATATAGATCCACAGCTGAGTTTTGGGGCTCCTGGAAAACTACAATTTCAGCAAGGTTCTGGAGGGAGCGGGAGGTGGAAAAGGAGGGAAGGGTTGGGAGGGAGACCGAGAGAAATGAAGAGATAGAGAGGGAGATGCCTGGCATGGCAGCAGCAGATCCTGCCTGGGTCCATGGCTGATGCTGCTGGAGCTTCCACCAAGAGGGGAAGGTGGCAGGTCAGCTGTGGATGTGCTGGCAGATTCTGTCTGGGCTCCTGCACCTGCCTACAGCATCCACAGCTGATACTGCTGCCACCACCCAGTGTGGCAGAAGCCCCAACCAAGTCCACAGATGGTGCCTGATGCTGTTGGGTGCGTGTTGTTTTCAAAAGACCAAGGAGTTAAACTTATAGAACAATAAAGCTTGTTTATGCAGACAGCCTTCTTAGCCTGCTGATCTACTGTTCCCTGTGGTTCCCTAACCCCCTTCCTGGGCAAATATAACAATTTATACATAACATTCTTAAAGGTATCCACACATCTTCCCCCTTTACATGTAACATATCCCTGTGTAATACTAACATTGGAAGTTTAGTTCAAACCATTGTTAAAGCACATTTTAACAGGTCTCTATTAGTCTTTGTGTTGGCTTTTTAGCTCTAAATGATCTTCTCAGATTCTCTGCATTCTTAATCCTTATCGGTAGGGACCTACTGGATTCACTATGGAAGTAAGAGTGTGCAGCAGCTCCTTTAATCTTGCATGTTCTCCTGTGCACACCTTGCCACTTGTCTCCCTCACCTTGCTGCTGATTCGTGAAGACCCCCACCACTCCCTCCTGATCAGCAGGGAAGCTAAAACCAGGGTTTTAAACATGACACCATATTTGCCTCCCTGCCAGTCAGCAGCAAACAGCAGGTCTGTCCAGGGCCTCTCAGCCAATCAGTGGCAGGAGGCAAAAATGGTGCCTTATTTAAAACTGCAGTATTCACCTCCTCACTGATCATGAGCAAGCCGCAAGCATGGACCCTCCACCAATCAATGGTGGGGAGGGGTGTGTGAGAGAGCCTACAAAATTAAGGGAACTACAATGCACCCCATTTCCACCATGAATTTTGTAGGTCCCTACTTATTGGTTCAGGTCTTGTTTGGTTTCCTTGTTCAAATGTGTCTACTTTGCCATTTTCAGTCTCCCCGGTCATTTCTTGTTGCTTTGTTGTTAGCTCTGTTTCCTTTGGTGAATCTTGTAATGCAGCTTCTTTTCTCCCCTTTATGAGCTACAAGTGTAGTCTATTCCTTCTTAACACCTGTCCTTCTGGTGTGACTACATTATAGGATCTTGGAGCTACTTGTTGGGAAACTAGTGCTTTTTTGTTTCCACATTTGTCCATGTGAAATAAGCGCCATATCTTTGTTGTGCAGTTGTAGTAACTCCCTGAAACCTCTGTCATAATACCATTTTTGTTTGAGTTTGTTGAAATTTTTAAATGTTTTCACATCTTGCTTTCATTCTGATGAGCATCATACACAAAATTTGGCAGCCTGATTTTGAGTTTCCTGTGAAACAGCATTTCTGCTGAGGACAATCAATGTTTCATGAGTGTTGCCCTGTAATTTAAAAGTGACAGGTAAACATTGGTGTGTGAATCTGTAGCTTTTTTTAACATTTTCTTCACTATTTGTACTGCATTTTCCACCAGACCATTGGATTGTGGGTATTTAGGACTTGAAGTGTTGTGATGGAATCCATATTTATTTACAAACTCTTTAAAATCCAGACAATTGCATTAAGACCCATTGTCTGTTCTCCTAATTTGTGGAATCCCATCTCTAGCAAAAAATGATTTGATGAGAGTTATGACATGAATTGCTGTTGTGCTTTTGAGCAATGAAATGTCATGGTAGTGAGAATAATAATCCAACTAAAACATATTTTTTCCTGCATGCATGAATAAGTCAATGCCTACTTGATACCATGGAACAACAGGCTCCTCCATTATCATCATGGACTCTTTTCTTTGCTTTGATCTGTACTTTTGGCACATTGTACAAGCCAATGTTGGGCCAATACAGAGCACCCCTTGCACTCCTTTTACATTTTTCAATGCCTAGATGCCTCTCATGTATTCTTTTTAACATGTCTTTCTTTAGCACTGCTGGAACAATAAGTCATGAGCATTTGAACAAAATGCCATCCAATATTGACAGCTCTTCCTTAAACTGAAAGTAGGGGCTAGGTATATGTTTTCTAGGCCAACCAGCACAAATAGCTGCTATCACTTTTTGCAGTGTGGTGCCCTGAGTACTAGCTTCTGCAATTAGTGCCCACATTTTATCTGTGATAGAAATCACTTTTTTAATTAGATTAGCATGTATTATGTCTGAGTCTGGAATTCTGTCCTTTCTCATTGTGTCATATGCTCCGGATAACGTATCTGCCATAAATGTTCATCTGTAATAAATGTTTTATCTGCAATAGATGTTTTCCTGGTGTGTGTTGTATGTCTCGATCATACATTTGCAGTTGCAAGAAAAGGCTCTGTAATCTGGGTGGCATGTCTAATAACCTTTTCTTTGCTATAGTTACCAAAGTTTTGTGATCAATTTCAGCTATCACAAGCTTCCCATAGATGAATATATGAAATATCTTACAGCCATATACCAGAGCTAAACTTTTTTTCTCAATTTTTGCATATAGGCACTCTGACTTAGAGAGTGCCCTAGATACATATGCTACTTGTCTCCAACTATCCCCCTGTTTTTGAAGCAAAACTGCTCCATTACCTTCTTTAGAAGCATCTGTTGACAATTTAATGGGTCTTTTAGGATCATGTTATTTTAGTACCGGAGCTCTCATTATTTTTTCCTTCATGTTCATGTTCCCATATCCACTGAGCATTCTTTTGTAGGAGTGATCTAAGGTGTTTGGTCTGCTCTGCTAATTTAGGTAGATATTTCTGAAAAAATGATCATTCCCAGTATCCCTACAAAATTGATGATTTCTAGTAATCTTTGCATTCCTTCCTTATTTGTAGGTGGTGGCATGTTTGTAATGCCTTTAACCCTTGCAGGATCAATTTGTACCCCTTTCTCAGAAAGTTTTTCTCCCAGATATGTTATTTCTGTGACCCTGAATTTGCATTTTTATTTGATCAGTTTCAAACCTGCTCTTTGACTTCTTTCTAGTGCATTTCTTAGCCTCAAGTCATGTTCTTCCATCATATTTCCCCAAATTAATACATCATCAATATAAACCATAGTTCCATCAAAACTTTCAAAAACATGTTGCACCTTTCAGTGAAATACTTCAGATGCAAAATACGGTCCAAAAGGAAGCCTACAAAAGCAATACCTTCCAAAGGGTGTCTTGAAGGTACATAATCTAGTGCTATTCTTTTCTAGGGGAACTTGGCAAAACCCAGAAGAAGCATCCAGAGTGGAGAAATATTTAGCTCAGGGATGGGCAAAATGTGGCCCATGGGCCAGATCTAGCCCAACAGGCCATACTGTGTGGCCTGCAGGGCCCCTAAAAAGTTTAGAAAATTAATATGTAACTGTCCCTGGCTGCCTGTCAAAGATGAAAGGAGACGGGGCAGTAGGACCCAAGGGAAGCCATGGCAGAATCCAGCAGCAGCAAGGCCTGCCCAGCCATGCCCCCCGCCCCCAACTGGAAGCCCCTGCCTAGCAGTGGGATGGCAGGAGAGTGGGGTGTGGGCTGGCAGGGGTCTATGGAGATGGGCTGGGCTGCGCCATCAGGGAGAGAGGGGAGCTGCCCTAGCTCTACAGAGTCCCTGATGGCTGGGACTCCGCGCTCCTGCTACCCTGCTCTGTGCCCTGCCAGTGCTGGCCCCGGGACACCAGCATGGACCCTGTGCTCCCACGCAGCTGTCATTGTGCTCCTGCACACCTGCTCAATCCCAGTGCCCCCTGCCCCAGCCCCGTGGTACAAGCTGGAACCAGCACACGCAGCCTGAACCCTGCATGCCCTGTGCTCACCCGTCTGGGCTGAGCAGAGACAGCGTGGGACAAACTGCTGCTCAGCATGGGGAGAAAGTGGTCCCTCTCCCTCCTCCTCACTGGCACTTCCTGGTGCAGCCGCCTTAAGCCCATGCAGG